AAATTTGGCGTGATCGTCATCTGCTTTACGGCAAGCAGTTGGCGACCACGTCACAGATGGTGAGTTCCCAATTTGCCTGAATAGGCTGACAAATCACACTTTTGTCCGAAAGAATCTCACCAAACTTTACCTAATTTATCGTGGAATCTTTTCTCAGCTGCATTTGGCTTAGTTCCTTAAGGATAAGCACCTTCATTTGCTTCGAAAGTGTTTCCAATCCAGGTAAATCGGAAATATCGTAAACAAACTTATTGCAAGCCTCAAGCGAACGATTCATAGTGTTTCTCCAGTAATTCAAAAGCGAGAGATAGTTTATGTTATCTTTCTCTCCGATGACTTGGATATCTTCGAGCCAATCAAGCTCTCTCATGCCGCCTTTCCCCGGTTTCATAGCTTCTTTAGAGCCTTCGAAAGTAATTCCAAGTAGTTCATTACTCCGAAGATAGCTCTTCAGAGCTAAAACTTGCGTCATATCGTCTCCAAATTCATTCAATGTCATTTCTCTAATCACGTTTAGTAAGATGTGGTCCGGAATATAATGTGAAAGGCCGTGATAAGCACGATAGAGGAATCGCCTCGCTTCGATGTTTCTTCGCTCAAAAGTTTTCTACTTTCTACTCAAGTGCTCGAGCCACGCCTGAGATAGATCAGGATGAAAAGTTTCTATTCCATCCACTATCGTGAAAAGACCTGGGAACTGGGTCACCTTGCCATGTTCGGTGATAGGCAATTCATCGAGCATTCTCCCAACATACTGATCTGCGTATTCGGCCAATTTCTGATCTTCGTTGTTTCGTAAGGCAAGAAATATTTCTAGTAGACCTCCATCGCCATGATTTTTGTGAAGTTCGCCAATAGCTTCAAGAATGTAGTCATGATTGCTTTGCCGTACACCTTCAGACCTCTGAATGCTGTCTTGTAAACCCATGAAAATGATATACGCAAGGGTTCTATCCGGTAGTTGAAGGTGAACCCTTTCTTCGTTGAAAATGTCGACACTTGAGTTTGTGTATTCTCTACCATAGCCATCCAGAGATGTATTGGTCCCTCTCTCGTTAGCAGCGAAGTCGGTAGATCTAGCACTCGAATCATTGACAAAGTCATAAAGTCGATTCGCATCCACACTGAATGTCCATTCATCGCAGAATTTAACCATTGAAAGGAAGAAGAACGAGTAGACACTTTCTGGATCACTTAGCCGTTAAAGAAGAAATTGCCAAATGCCGGAATGTAACAATCTTCGAGCTCGAGGTACAAGTAACTAGTAGCTACATAGAAACGATTTCATTGTACCCCAACTTTTTGGCTTGTTTTTAAAAACATTTAATAGAAATAAATAAAGGAGTAAGAAAGTACCCAGAAATTCAAATAAAAAGAAAATTCGTTTTAAAAATCAAACCAATTTGCAAGTTTCAAAAAAACATTGCTACCATCTACACTATCGCATGCAGGTACAATTACTTGATACCTGTCCAATATTGAGATGTCATGCCTTATGCATATACGCTTCTAGGAAGTGCAAATTTCGGTTCATCACAGCATTTGCTTCTATAAATTGGTAGCCTTTGCATGAAAAAAAAATCTTTGTCTGAGTGCTGTGCTATTGTGTACACCTTACACATTTGTATAACTGTATAAAGTATATGATGTACAGATGCACAAAAATTCCAATCATTTTAGTGTAGTTGTGAGTATTCAAAAGTACCAAAGTGCGCGAAGAGACTGCGGTGCTAGAGCGACTTGTTCCCACTTACTGACTTTGGGTTGAATGGCAGAGTGCATACCTGTACATGTTTTGCCCCCTTTTTATAAACGGTTTGGCTTCCCTTGAGTTCTTTTGACACCACTTGAAAGTGGCTCCAATCTTTGTGGGGGGCTGTCAGTCTTGATTTCAGCACGGCTATCGGAAATCACAGATCTTATCGAAATGAGATTGAGCGTCATATGTCGGATGCGCAACGCCATGATTAAAAGCAAATGCAACACACATGATTATGTAGACTTGCTATCTATACACGTAGTGCCTGCGGCTCATAAGACAGAGTGGTGATTATGTTACATCGAACGCTCATGATCGTAGCTAAAAAAAGTTGACTGAAATATCTGGCGTCCCGAACGGAAAGCGAGCACATCTTGTGTTCCTCGCAGGCTTACTTATGCTACGTCCTGATCCCGCCCTTAGGAGCCAGATGGATGTAAGCAGCAACGCATATCCAGGATCTTCCACTCGCACTGAATGAGAAACGACCGTGTTGAATTTGGTCGGTAGCACTTATATAGACGAGCACATCCGTTAGATTTTTATTCAAAATCTAGCTTCACTAAGGCGAACTTGTAAAGCCTTGAATGGGTGAGTAGGGGCGCTTTTCTTTTCCGGCGATTAACTGATTGCGGTACTCTTTAGCACTATCGCTTTTTTTGTTTCCAACTTACATCTCATAAGAAGGGTATTGGATATCTCGATTGCTACTACTATAATTGCAAGCTTTGATATAACCCGAATGGTTAGAGAGCATTCGTGGAGCAGATTTCCTAGCTTTCGATGTGAGCGATAGGTCGCACGCATAGGTGTAAAAGGGTTCCTCCTCAGGCAGAAAAGCTTCATTCTTCTTTGTGGGCGGCTTGATCGCATGTCACCATATAAAATAGACGGATTTGAGTCAGGACTCGAACTGTTGCTGCGACCACCTGCATCGGAGGGCACCTCAGCCTCCTCACCGAGTATCAATCTTGAATAGCAGGTCGCGAGAATCACGCCTTTTTTTGGAGACCTGCTGAGCTGCACAGAATAATTTTTCTGGTGTATGACTGCTCTGAGGAGCAGGCACGGTAAGGTGCAAAGTGTGAACTCCAAGCGCAGTTGCAGTGTCGTCAAAACTAATTGAAAGAGTAGGAGTCAGTGTGGTTCTCATCTTGCTGAAAGACGAAGTAGCGGGGCAGGTATTGCACCAATGTATTTACGCATGTTACACTTTGGTACAATCGGGCAAATGTGCAATATGCACAAATTATACAAAATGCACTGTGAGCTATTATGCAATTAAAGGTTATCAGCACCGATTTATTTGTATCTATGACGACGATTGGCCTTGGTAAAAGGTTGTCCTGGTTGAATGTGGTGGACGTGGATTGTTGGCCGCACGTCGTGAAATGAAGATAACGAAATATTGTGAATCGCATACACTTAATATGAGTCTAGATATATTCAATCTCAAATATGTAGCACTCTTGAGAGAGTATAGTTTTAGCGGCTTCCAGCTCCGCTTCTTCGTAAAGCGTACAAGCCTAATATCGGGCACTTGCAGATGCGGACTCTTTCAGTCGAGTCTTTTTCTGTGCAGTGCATGATAAAACTGTTGTATCGACGTAATACATGCAGATAAAACGCAGATGTCCTCGATTCTAAATGAACTCAGACGTTTTTTATTCAGTATTCGAAACGTACACTTTTAAATCCTTCAGAATCGTGAATACAGCAATCTGTCACTTTTTCAATGATAGTTACTGATTGATGCAAGACCAGGAAATAGCTTTCATAATATTTAAAACATAAATTCATATTAGGTCCCAAAACGCTGCCCACATTTTTAATTTCGCAAGGCAGATTCGTTTAGGTAGGCGCTAAGTACTTAGCGAAAAAATTGCAACTCATTTTCTGACATCCAGACCCCAAGTAAGACTTAAGATTTTTATCTGTGCACATAATAAAGGGCAGTCACATTTGAGATGACCAGTATTAGCAATACTTTAATGAAAGACTATGTCACTATATGTCTAGCAAGTGGAGATGGAATAAAAAAGTATGACGTATAGTCTGGAGATGGAGAAAAAGGCAAGTACAAGTAGAATGAAGCTCATAGTGGTTTCAGAGGCTAATAGTACTTTTGCACGAATGTAGGTAAGGCTGCGAAACGTAGGTGAGCTACCGTGCGAATTTATAGAATTGAATGCTGTCGATCAGAAAACGCCTAAGCTCTGCAAGACATCAGGGTAGAAAGACATCCGGTGCAGCAGAGTTGACGTGCGCCTTGAACAGGAGAAGAGTGCATTCAAACAGTCCGCGCGAACAATCGCATACATATGGGTTTGTACGTATTACACATGGGCGGAACAGATGCGTCTGTTGTCTAGGCGGCTCTGTTCTTTCAATAGTGAAGCAGACTAGATTAGATTTTAGTTGAGCAGGTAATCGGTAAATTTGCTTCATTATATCCGATAGTTATAGTCTCTGGATTGCTTTGCGTTAGGCTAACGGCCCACGTGTCTTTTCCTTACAGGATTTTATCAGCATCGTGGATAGTGTTTGCTGAAACTATGTCTAAATGCGTACCTCTATCCGATATGAGAGCGGCCGACAAGCCATGTCAGCAACTCAATTTATCGCAGCCATGCTGCTTTATTCTTACCGATTCATAAATCGCTGTCAGCACCTAGATAACCCATCTTGCTCAGACGGTCAGCGAAGGCCACAAAAGGACTGGAATTTTTCTAAAAGGCCATAAATAAATCCGCATTAATGATTTAGTAAGACATTCCCCATACCGTCAGGATAGCCAAACTCACCGACGCGTGCATCAAAATTGATTGACTTAAATGTTGAACGTGCGCATATATATTCTTGTCCCCATATTCATGTTGAGCCACCGTTACCTTGCGCTTACAGAACAGTATATTGTTTCTCAATTGGGAGTTCACCCAAAAGGAGATCAGGTGCCTCGTCAAGTATTTTGTACTGAGGTTCTCATCATGAGTTCACACTACACGTTGTCTGTCAGGTGGATCAATCCTGTAACACGGCAACAATGGAATACTACATGTAACGGTGCAAACGTGCGTTTGGGCGTCATGATAAAGCAGTGTTTAAGTTCATAAACGCTTCACTATCAGTAATGCCACACGTGTTACATCTCCCCGTATGCTTCGCGTACAAACTCATCAATTCGCATGGCCACAATTGTGACATTAGATAATTTATAGCCACAACGACGCGGAAGCGCACCTGACACCACAGCCAGTTTTAACCGTATATCTGGCAAAGAAAGACAATAATCGGAAAAATTTATGTTAAAGACGTGGCGACGACGTCGCTGTGCATAACTGTGTATGATCTGTATCAATCACAAAAGTCTCAAAGCCAAGAAAATGCACCCTTTACAGATCAGAGCATACTTCATTGCTATCAGCTTCTTTTCTATCGCTTCAAACTCTCAATACTCAGAGCAATAGATTGCTCAGAACTATCTGCATCTGCTTGAAGTAAAACACATTCTATGGCGAAGGTTGAAGCGTCAAAGGCGACATGAAATGATCGATCTGAATTCAGAGTAGCTAGTGTTGGAAAATATGCATTCTGTATGGCTAGAAACCCTTGGGGGCCGCATCCAGTGCTGCTCCCAGCACCATTTGAGATCGTATTCAAGGAGAATGATAAGAGATGTTCCATGTTGGCTTCACTCGGAGCTGCTCCAAGTCATTGGAGTTGTCAACTCCATCAGCATCATTAATATCGATAGAGTGATTTTTATTTTATCTTTTGCTAAGATTTTGATGTTTATTGGATCACCACCGAGCTGCCGCAATCGTGGTTTTGTATTGACATCAGGAAGATGAGCATTTGCTTTCAAATGCTGGTGTCCGAACATGACGGCCGAACGAGAGATGATACAAATACTGCATTGAAGCTGTTTGAAGGGTATTTGAAAGAATTAACGTATAACGAATTAAGGAAGAATTTCGCGTTTGGAGATCCTGTTCACGTCGTATTCTTGCGTCCTAAGTTAACCTGTAGACTGCGTGACGAGTCTGAAAGAGTATAAATATCAAAGTTTCAAACACCTATTCGCCACCTGCATCAGCTGTTAGTTGTCAGTTTCACTGTACATTCTTCATTTAATGAGATTGATGACACAGTGCCTCCATCAAAATGCAGCGGGGCTGCCGTAGCTCTATCGCTTAGAGAAAGCTAAGCTAATGCCAGTGACCTTCGTTCTATACTTAAAACCAGTACAAGTGTGTCGAATCACAATTCGCTTACCCCAAGAGTAACCACAACCTTAACTTAAGGCAGAGAACATCTTCCGCTCAAATATAAACTGTATTTTTTCTTGTTTATTTGCGGCAATGCCGCCTATATCAAAAATATAGGTTGTTTGTAACGGGGGTTACACGTACTTTTATATGGAAGGGCGGATCACACAAGATGGAGCGACCGTACGTAGGTGCGCGTTACACAAGTTGGTGTTCACAGACCTGTGTGGCTACACGGTAACAAGAAGCCACTACGTGGCAGGTTTGCGAGTAGTAATGCATATCAATCAGGATTTACTTTATTGATTAAGTATGACTATATTAATAAGGAAATCTAAAGTTTCAGATATTGGCGGCTCTGCCGCAACTAAACAATAAAATACAGTGTCAATTTTTGACGGAAGAGCGTCCTCACCTTGGCTAAGGTTTAAAGTACTCTTGGATGTAGCGAATTGCGATCCGCTACATTCGTACTGGTCTAATTATAGAACAAAGGCCACCGACCTTTGCTTACAGCACTTGGTAGCTTTTGCAGTCAATCTGTTACTGAGTCGTTACGACTGGACCTCTGTGAGGATGAAGCAGCTCTCCTTTTTGCCCCAGCGGGCTTCAAAAGCTGATGTCTTTGCCTTGCCCTGAGGAAGTGGAACATCTTGTTTCGCAAGATCCCACGGCGATTAGAGAGCGCCTAGAGGCGTTTTGGTTAGAGCACCTACAGCAGCTGCTGTCAGCGTTGACGGTGGCGTCATGGACGCCGTCGACGCTGACAGATTATTCTTCCCGACCCAAGCCGCTCATGGTGAGCGTTAAGACCGTCGAGGGTAAGGATGGAGAAAATCTTCTGCTCTAGGTAAGAGATGTTGAGATGGCTATGGCATCCGTCATGCTCCAGACCGAGCAACAGAGCGGGTGCTAGCTTTCTCTACGCTCGGGGGCCGAGCGCGAGAATGGGCATTAACGTGCGGTGCTTTGGTAAAGCTGCGTTTCCCTCCTGAAAGGAGCAGAAGTGTCAGCTTTTGCGAGTGTTCTCGCCGCCTAACCAGGCATATCGCGTGCGATCGCGTTCCTGTGCCGCTCGACAGGTCAAGAAGGAGTTGGTGGACTTTGTCCAAGTGTTGAGAACTCTCATTGCCGGGATGGCGGCCGATCTTCCCCGTGTCGGTCGCAGCGACCGTCTTTATGGAGGGCCTACGCACTTGCGTGGCCAGAATTGAAGTTTTTCGTGTGCATCCGTCTTCTTTCGAAAGAGCGGTGAACGTGGCATTGACTGCTGAGTTCAACTTTAAGTCGACACGAATTGGTTAAAATGCACACCCTCAGAGCTCGTCGAGCGGAATAGGGCCAATGGATCTCAGCTATGCTGAGAAAGAGGAGTAAGAGCTCCGAGCTGCCGAGCAGCGTTTAAACACCCGACGATGTTTTGTCGATAGCTAATCCCGTCACCTTCGGACTAATTGTCGTCTTCGCAAGACGTGTAAAGGCTCGTCGAACCGACGCCCCACTTCTCACCAGTCTGGTTTGTGAACGCCCTACTGGGGTGCCCACAGCCTCAGCCTCAAAGAGGTTGAGGGCAGCAGAGCCCATCCCGAAGGGTTTAAGTGATTGAACACGGTATGTGTATGCAAGCTGGGCATCCGGTCGTTGGAGCGACCGTGTAGGGCTTTGAGAAGCCATGGAAGATCCTAATCAACTCTGGGGCGTTGAGCAATGTTACTCGACACTCCACGATCGAAGGAAGTCAGCTGTATGCTGAGGTACTGAAAGCGCAGTTGAGTGACACAGTCACTTTTTGCTTAGCGAAGGGGGGGTGTCACTGTGCCGAGGGTCCCTGTGGACCTCGGTGTCAAGTCACTTGGCTTTGGTGGCGAGGAACGCTGCTTGCTTAGACTTGGATGCAAGGGATGACCTTACCCTTGGTATGACATGGTTTGAACACCATGAGCGATGGATCGATATGAGGTCGAAGATTTTGGGGGCGCAACGCGCACGTCTCCTGGTGGAGCTTTGGTAAGTCATGAACCAGCCCATGCCAGGAAGCAAAACCTTTCTTGGCGCGGGCACTAGACCGACACGGTCAATTGCTGGATATTGGCGTATCCGAGTGGTCAAACACCGAAGGTGTATTGGACAAGAGTCCCGAGTATGACTCGCGGGCTGAAAGTGGACTGGCACGTAACCCACCGAGCGCAGCTCAACATGCCACGAGTGGATTGGTCGGATGAGGTCTGAGACATCGTGGGCGAGGCCCTGGTGATGCGCGTGGAATGGCACGTAATCCACTTAGCACTGCTTACGTTTCAAAGCAGTTGTTGCATGCCAAGAGTGGCTTAGCCGGACAAGGTCCGAAGCATCCTGGGCAAGGCTCTTCCGATGCCTGTGGAGTGGCACGTCAACCACTTGATAAAGACTTCGGAAATAGCAGCTCTATATCGTATGTTGTTAATAACATCAAGGCTCCGATCGAGCAGGAAGTGTAGACACTGGACGACGCCGAGTGCGTATTCCCACTGGTATAAATGAACGTCAAACTTCAATAGAGAGGAGGCGGCGAAGCCGTATGATATCTGCAAGACGCGAAGCGTCGACCCTGACTCAGGGTGTGTCTTCCGTAGACGATAGTGCACAGATACATACCCTTGTCAACGGCACAACGGGCGACGTGACCCTCGAGGCTATTCCCGCGGTGATGCTCTTCTTGAGCTGTCCTTCGAAGATTTTGGCGGTGCCTTGAAGGCAGGTGGTTCAGCCAATTTGGTAATAAAGCGACCAAACAAGGAGATTTACTCGTCGTCGCTTTCGGATGAAGCTGTCCAGAAGGACATCGAAATTGTGCTGAGCGCACTATTTGTATCTTCGATCCTAAGGAGTTCCTCGGATCCGTGCTATTTTTTGGTAAAGGAAGTTCAAGTCGTCGCATTCAAAGACCCGCCGTTGATACTACCTATGGACCGAGGTGTGCGTCATGAGATCGACCTGATTCCGGGAACCAAATACTATGTAGCACGCCAATGGCCCCTGCCCAAAGCGCAGTGTCGCGTCATTGACGCCTTTTTCCGTGCGAAGCACAGCGCAATAATGGTGTGTGAGAGCAAGTCTCCCCATTCGACACAAACGTTTTGTGTCTGGAAGCCGAACGTCGAGTGGCGTATTGTTCATGCTTACAAAAAGCTAAACGCTGCCAACTTTCCTGCATGGATGCCGATTCCTAGGAAGGATGTTCTCTAGAACAATATGGTTGAAAGAACAGCGCACTCGATTTGGTCGAAAACTTATTACCAATTACTCAATAAAAAGAGTGCTATTTCGCTGACAGCGGGGAGTACATTGAGCAGCATGCTTCCGGAGTGGCTCGTGATGTCCCAAGGTCGGTCAAATGTACCTGCAACATTTAATCGTCTTGTGCGCAGTTGTATAGGCCCCGTCAGGCGTATACACAGACATACAGGGCGGATGAAGAGAAATATATCGTTTAGTGAAAAGCGGAGCTCGAGTGCATGCTCACGAATACGCTGATAACCGCATGTTCGGCGCGCAAGAATTCCCTTCTTAGAACGTTTCATTGGGAAGCGTAGCTTCACGCGGATAATGACTGCCAAGGTCAAGGACATTGTGGAATAGCCGATTCCGAAAAACCAAAAGGACTTGCGCAAGTGACTTGGCCTCGCCGGCTACTTGCACAAACATAGCGCAAATTATGCGGAAATGACACGGCCATTGCGGAATCCCCTTAAGAAGGATACGGAATGGCGTTAGGACATCGAGAGTCGGGAGGCTTTTTAAAGGTCAAAGACAGCCTTCTTTATGCAACAATACCGGCGTTGACAGACCCCGATCGTCCTTTTAGTGTCGTCTGTGACTCTTGGGACTTTGCCATCGGCTGTGCACAGGTGCAAGCAGACGTCGAGGGGCGAGATCGGGTGATCGCGTTCGACTCTCGCCAGCTTAAGGCTGTGAAGAGGAACTACCCAGTCCACGACAAGGAATCACTTGCGATGAAGTATGCTCTTGTCAAGTTTAGGGTGCACCTGCTTGGCTCGGAGCCGTTTTTTATCTACATAGGTCATGAGTCATTACGCACTGCGACTCAGACGCCTTACCTCTCGATGAGGATGGCCGGGTGGCTCTCATTCTATGCAGAATATAACTTCAAGGTGAAGAATACTCTAGGAAAGCAGAATGCTTTGACTGATGCGTTGTCTCGTAGACCGAATTATGAACTTGCTCATATCATGACGGTGACATCGTCAGTGACAAATTATACCACGCCGCATACGCTGGTGATAGTATGTGTGTAGCGCTGCTACAGACTCTCGGAGGCAAATAGTCGGAAAATTCGGACAAAAATGTCGGCGCGTTCGCGCGCACGGTTACACCAATATTCGTTTAGTAACGGATTGCTGTATTTAAGTACCGATTTGACGGATACGCCACAAATTGTGGTTCCTCGCGATGAAGATTTGAAATACCGTATCCTTTATGAGGCCCCACTTAGTGGTCATCTTGGTCGTGAGAAGACGTACAGCTCGGTGAGTTGGTGGCTCAAGCTGTACAAATGGACAAGCACATATGTGCGCACGTGTGATTCGTGTCAAAGGGTGAAACCTCTCCGAACGGGGCGGCGGCGCTGACCGGTTTACTGGTACCCTCCGGGCGTTGGATGTCCATGAGTAGGGACTTTGTGTTTGGCCTGCCGATGGACTCGGCAGGTAACACGGGTGTGGTGGTCTTTGTGGACTGTCTGGCTCATCTTGCGGCAGTGCCGAACACCATCCACGGTGTGCGTTCAGCGACGCTGTTTGCGGATCGTGTCTTTCGACAACATGGACTCCCGGCGCCAATTGTCTTTGATAGAGACCCGCGCTTCACTGGAAAGCTTACAATCTTCAGGGTGCGGAACACCAAGTTGACTATGTCAACAGCGGACCATCTGCAGACCGATGATCAGACTGAGCGCGTGAATCGCGTCTTTGAAGACGTTCTTCGCAGCGTCGGCGCTGAGACGCCGACGCGCTAGAAGGCCATGCTCTGAACAGTGCAGTCCGGCTACATGCCGTTCTACGTGAACGGATTTGTTAATCTTCGCGTCCCGCTGACGCCGCTATACCATAGCTCAGGGCATGGTGGGGGAGGAATAGCCGAGCGATTAGCTGATGTCAGCCCCCTCACTGTGCGTAAAGAAGTCGATGACTTCCTGTCTACCAGACTGAGTGTCTTAAGACACGTTCGCCATGCGATGGCTGAAAAAGGAAAGCCACGACATGCAGAAGGAATATGCAGTCGAAAAAGGGAGAAGAAATTTTTAAAACATTAAGGTTGGAACGTAGATTTTATTAATAGGTCCTGTACATACAGTCTCTGCTGTCTATAAGACAAGCTCCGTCCATGCTTTGGTGGACCTTCTAAAGCGGTTGCCAAGCGAGGCCTTACGTATAAGCTGAACCTTCCGAGAAGAATGCGCACCCACTCGGTGTTTTTTCGGGCTTGCTTAAATCGTATCGGGATCCGGCGCAAAATGTGAGCGCAGAAGCGTCAGCGCCGGGGCGGCGGCCGCAGGCGCTCGACCAACCAAAAGCTGCACCAGCAGCTGGTTCTGAGCGCAGAGTGCAACAAATTCCGTATCCGACGGCGCAAGGTGCTTCTCCGTCGCACGGAGTGACGTATTTGCTTGCTCGACGGCTAGAAGCCGCTATGACAGAGCACAATAGTCCTCAACGCGAGGCAGTCGGTGCACAAAGTGCTCCAGGCTCTCGAGGTTTTCCGCACAGCGTTAGGCGACCTCGATAAGATGCTCAT